GGGCAGAGGGGCCCAGGACCTGACATGGAGGGAGGTAAAACTAGAAACACAGAGATGGAAAGAATGACACAGATCTTGCATGTGGCGTACTCACAGGATGAAAGGTGGGCAGGAGTGAACTTGCAGAATTGGAAGGAGGTGATGTCAGCTGTCACAGACTGTGTTTTTATGGCTCACCTTGCCCCTTCTCCTTTCTCTGAACGCACGCTAATCCCAGAGCTTGATCACCGCAGGTCCTCAAATCCACACGCCCCCTCTCCGTCACTGCTGTCGCTGCCCCTGTCCACGCCAGCAACACCCTTCTTCCGGACTGTCCGATGCATTTGATTCCTTGTTTCCCCAGCCCTGCATCCACCCTCCTGTAATGTATCCTCCATTTGTGAAAATGACCTTTCTGGGACAACAATTGGATCACATCAGCCAAATTTATTCTCTGGCTCCATCGTGCCCACACATGGCACCTAACCCTGTGCCCAGAGCCAGTCGGAGCCCTTCCTCACGGGGCCACTTCTGCTGCTCCAGCCTCCCCCGAGATCCCTCATCTAGGGCTGTGGCGCAGGCAGCAAGGCGCAGCGGTCCAGGGCCTAAACTCAGCCCCACAGCCTGCTTTCAGTCCTCCCCCCACAGTTCTCCTGGACAAGTGATTTAACTACAGCGATTCAGCGTATTCATCTATAAAATGTTAGGAGGATAAAGTGAGAATATATTTAAAGTGCAGCTGGTACATAGTGAGAGCTATGTCGGTGTTTATTAAATATAAGGAAAAATAATTCTCTGGATTGCCACATCCTCCCCTCCCCTGTGAATTGATACCTTCAGGTTCTTAAATCCTTTTGGGGTGGGGTGGGGGGATTGGGGCTCTTTCCCTTGGTCAATCATTCTTCTTCCTTCTGGGTGTAGCTAAATTGTCAGGTCCTCTGTGAAGCCTTTCTACTAGACTGTACTCTTTCCCCTGTTCAAACTTCATTGTGTTATCATTTGTATCAGTTTCCTATGGCTGCTGTGACAAGTTACCGCAGCCTGGGTGGCTTAAAAGCACAGAAATGTGCCATCTCACGCAGCTGGAGGCTAGACGTCTGAAATCACAGGGCTGGACCCAAGGGCTGGACCCCAGGCCTGCCCCCTTCCAGAGGCTCTTAGGGGAAAGCCTGTTCCTTGCCTCGCCGTCCATCACATTCCTGGGTTTGTAGCAAAGCTCTCTAATCTCTGCCTCTGTGATAACACTGCTGCCTCCTCCTCTGGCTGTGCCATGTCTCTCATAAAGACACTTGTGACTGTTCTGAGGGCCCAACCTGATAATCCAAGATCCTCATGCCACCTCCAGTTCCTCAACTTGACACGTCCACAAGACCCTTGGAAACCATATAAAGTGACATTTACAGGTCCCAGGGGTTAGCGCCGGCTATCTCTGGATGACACTTTTCAGCTACTGCATAGCTCTTTGCATATAGGTTGGTCTTTTCACCTTTGAATGGCAAGGGTCTGCCTACCTCGGTGTAAGTACATAATGACTAATCGAAACCTGAAATACATGCAGAGGTACACCAGCACGGGGTACAGCTCCACCACTGCCCACGTGCATCTGTGTTCCGTCTTTGCTAAGGCTTGATTCCCCTGGGCCAGAGCTATCTCTTTGCGTGCTAATTTGTGGTAGGAAGGAAGTTTCACTCATCACTTGGATCGATTTCTAGGTCAGAGTTATTGAGCCAAGGGGACCTTCATCTTCAGGCCGCCTCCTCTGAGCTACAGTGAGGCGACGTGACCGAGAACTCTGTTCCTTCCAACCGTGGGGCAGAGGCGGTGGAAAAGGTGGAGGAGCGCTGGCAGCTGCAAGGTGACTTTCACGGAATGTGCGAATGCCGAGTGGTGAAGTGATAAGCGTGAACTGCAATAAGAGTGCTGTCATCGGTTTGCCCGAGCTGGTTTGTTGCCATTCCTTGACCATGTAATTTAAACAGTTTCCTTCGTACCTTACATTCCTAAATTCATGGCTGTTGCTTAACTATTTTCCCATCTTGAGTCACTTGGTATTCAACATAGGCATTTCTCTGAGAGGAGTCTTGGTTCTTTTCCAGCATTCTTAAGTCACAGTTCCCTTCATCACCAGAGGAAGTTGCTCCAGCTACCACTTACCTGGAAAGACAACCCCGTAGCTACACTACTGTTTTTCTTAGCTACTGGAAACCTTTCTCAGTGAAAGAGGAAAAAAATACATACTTGCAATACAAAAAATAAACAAGTAGATTACTTTGCACAATTAATCCTTGAAATGGTAAACTGTTTGCTGTTTATAACTGCTTACTTCTATGTCATCTTACCACCTTTGTGCTGGTTAGAGTCCGCCCCCCCCCCCCCGGCCAATCAGAGTTAAAGAACGATAGAGCCCCCAAATTCACCCAAGGTTTGCCAATGTATGCGCTGTATTCTGAAACTTCTAGGGTTTGAGAAATTTCTCTCATTAACATATGAATCCATCTGTAATAAAACACAATTGTTAGAATCAGTTCAGGTAGTGTGGCTGGCCTGAAGCTCAGCTAACATCGTGGCCTGGCACCTGCCAGAGGCTGGTTGGACTCCTGTAGCCTGTCCGACAAAACCACTCACCTCCTAAAATCACCTGGAGCAGCACCCTCCCTCCAGTGCTGCTCGGGTTGCTGTCTTTCATATAGGTCATACTTCTTCCTACCCATGGAACTTTGCACATGCTGTTCCCTCTGTGTAGAATGCTTGTCCCTCCTCTTCTTGATTAAATTCTATTCATCCTTTGGATTTAGTTTGGGTGTTGCTCTCTCTGGAAAGCTTCCCCAGACTAGGTTAGATTCACCTAAGTACTTGAGACCACTGGCAGTTTTCATTGCATTTGTGTGATCATGTGATTGAAGCCTGCTTCCTCCACCAGGACGTACAAAGCTCTGTGAGGGCAGGGGTAAGTCAGCTTTCAGTACCACTATATCACCAGCCCACATCACTATTGCTGGAACACAGTAAGCATGTGGTGAATATTTAAATGTTCAATGAATATGCAGTAGCATCTCCTGCTAGCTCTACCTGTCACTGGATTACTAGGCAAATTACTTAACTTCACAGGGCCCTACTTTCCTCGATAAAAAAAAATGCCTCTTCCAGTCCCCAAATTCTAGGATATTTATGATTCCTGTCTTCAGCCTATAAGATTGATTAGACTACAGCTAGAAAGCTGACACTATCTGTTATCTGCTTGCCACATATCTCCTCACGTGGAGAAACCTTATGCTAAGGAAGAAATTGGAATTACCCTTACGTATCTTTACTTCTTTCCCTAATGCCGCTGTTTCCTTCTGGCTTCCTTCGCCTGCCATTTAAAATACTGCCAAGGGTCCCTTAACTGGTTGGTGGTTTTGTGTTCAGCCCCTCCCCTCCTAGTCTGCCTGCAAAGCTGCCAGTAGAACTGGGCCTGCAATGCTGGCCTGGTGATGGCACCCCTCTGCTTGAACACTTCCAGGGACTCCCACGCCATGCCTGGGACAAAACTCTCCTCTTGCAAAGCTGCCCTTCCCCCATTTCTGCATCACTGCCAGCCCTCTCCTTGAGAACTTACACTCCACTCAGAACCGTTCAGGGGGCCCAACTGCACACTGTTCTTTCAAGTCCCCTGCCTTTGCAGTAGTTCTCTTGGCCTGGAAAACTGTTCTCCGCTCCTGTACTTGCAAAGTCCCACACGTCCTTTAGGCTCAGCTCAAACATCATTTGAAGGTGGCACCTGCCTTGACCAAACCCCCACTTTTCTGGCTGAATTTGTCACTTACTTACTGCCTGTGTTCCTACAGAACACTTTGTCCAAGCCATTTCTATAACACTCAGTGAGCTGTATTTCTTTGCACAGAGATACTTGGGTTAACAGCGTGGGCCTCAATTGCAGACAGACCTGAGGTTGAAACCCACATCCAAAACTTACTGTGGACTTGGAAATTATTCTGAGTATTAGTTGCCTAATATTGGAACGGGGAGACATTACGCCTAATTCATTGGGCTGTTGTAATTGTGGATCAAATGAGATACTGTGATTAATGCGTTAGTATAATGCCTGGCCAATAATGCTCAATAACTCACAGTAATTGTTATTGGCTTGTAAATGTGTTGATTGCAAAGACCCAGATCTATGTCCGCCTTTCTACCCCGGTGTCGGGCACATCATGGATGCTCTCAGTGAATGTTTCTTCAAATGCGTGATTGCGATAGTATTCCTGATGTATTTCTTTGAAGGAAGGCTAGAGGCTTATTCATTTAGGGAATTTCACTGAAGTGTCAGAAATGCTACTGATCTCATGACAGATTCCAAATCCCATTTATCTTTCCTTTTGCTGAACTAGCCTTGAACTTACATGGGTATCACAGTTTGGGAACAAACTTGAGTTTTAAGCATTAGCGTTTTCTGCAAAATTCTCCTTCTCTCTTCACACTTTTAGCCTCCACTGTAAGCACATCCCGTTCCGGCCTTTACATAAGCCCACCTGCACACAGGTCACATCCTTCTTTCTCATGTGAGTGAGGCCAGTAGCTGCATGTGCGCAGGACTAACGCTAACCACTGTCCTATGCGCTTTAGGTGTTTCAAGTCCTCTGGGCGACTCGTAACCTGACTGGTTATAGCCATCGCGAACTCGAGCTTAGGGCGCTGGCCACGCCGCTGCGTTGCCCCTAACAAGAGCCTAATTCCTGGAAGGCGAGGTCATGGCCCACTTCCTCTGCATCACTGTGTCCGCAGTCTCCGTGAGCTCTGCGGCCCAGGGCACTTCCGCCTCGGTCCACGCATTTACCTGCCCCTTGGGGGGCACAGGGAAGACTAAGTTCACACCCAACACTCCCCGAGACTCCCTGGGAGATTTAAAGCCTCACAAACCTCAGCACATCAAACTTTCCTACTGTAATTTCTCTTCCGTGTTCCCCGATGACTCACTCCTTCTAGGGTCTAACCATGTAAGGCTGAGAAACAGCTTTGCTCCCTTCAAGTCAGCAAGGGCAGGTCATCCTCTCTCCCGGACTAGCCGAAGGTCCAGGGGTGGCCTTGGATGCTTGTCCCCGTAGGCGACCGCACCCTGCCCACGAGGGGACGGCCTCCCGCTCTCCCCGCCGAGACGCCGCGGAGGCGCAGACGTCTCGCGCCCTCCTTCCAGGAGCCGCCAGGGCTGCAGCTCTTTGTCACGGCCACACCGGAAACCGAAACCGCCCCGATCGATCGTGGGGCGCTCGCCGAGGGTCCCACGCTCGGGGCGGGGCCGCGGGGCCCGTCCTCCTCCCCAGGGGAGCGCGTGAGGACCGGGCGGGGCCGCCGTCCCTTCCGGGGAGCGGTGGCCACCGCCGCGTCTGCTGGGCGGCTTCCCACCCCGCCCCCCGCAGCTCTGGGTGACGCCGCTCCAATAACAGCTCGCGGGGAGCCGCAGCCCGAGCTCAGCCGGCGCCGGGCACCCCTCCTGACAGCCCGGCCGCCCCGCCGCCACCATGAGGGCTGAGGGGGACGGCGGCCTGGAGCGCTTCTCCAGCCCGGGCAAGGGCCGGGGGCTGCGGGCCCTGCGGCCCTTCCAGGTGGGCGACCTGCTCTTCTCCTGCCCGGCCTACGCCTTCGTGCTCACGGTCAACGAGCGGGGCAACCACTGCGAGCACTGCTTCGCCAGGTAGGCGGTGGGCGGGCGGGAGCAGGGGGCGCCGCGCGGCGGCCGGGACCGCGGCGGCAGGAAGTGCGCGCGGCGCGCGGGGTCCTAGCGCCGGCCTCTTCGGTGGTGGCCCCCGCGGCGGGTGCGGCGGGCGGGGAAAATCGTTTTAATCCCACTCTGGGCCACGCCATGTGCAGTAGGAAGCCGAGGCCACGTTGGCGCCGCACGCCCTTTACCGCACGTTTTCAGAGTTGCTTACGCGGGATGTGCCAAGCTGGGAGGGCAGGGTACTGCCCTCAAGCGTGGGCTCGGAGCCAGCCTTGTTCCACATATGGTCACGCGCTGCCCTCTAGGTGCACTGCCAGCGGGGCCCCAGGTCCGGGCAGCCATAGTCTGTCATCTTTAACTTGTGCTTCTTGCGGTGTGTTCTGTTCCCCACAGCCCAGCTCTGCCACAGACTTGCCATTTCCTCCACGGAACTTAATGACACTATTTCATGTAAAGTGCACGGCCCCTCTTCCTTCTCAATCTCTGCACTTGGTGTTTGGGGAGAAGCTAGAGGGGCACTGATCGCATACCTGGGATTCCGAGGGACTGCACTGATGGGACACATGTAGCCCTGGTTTGGGACTGGGAAGAAGACATGGTCACCGGGGGGATTAGGCAAAACGTGTGGTTGAAAATGGCATTTAATTGTAGCATGTCATATGCACACATATTCACATACACCCGCTCATCATTATACCCTCAAGCCGGTTTCAGGCCAGAGGGGCACCTTAGAAACCACCCATACAACACCTTCTCTACCGTTTTACAGGCAAGGGAACTACTGCCCACAGAGGAAGTGTGGCTGTGTGCAGATTGTCACACCTATGCTTAAGGGAATGAAATCTATTCTTTTCAGTTCTGCCCATCCCCTCCCTGGTTGGTGCTCAGGAAAATTAGCGAGGCAGGAAGTGGCTAGGAGTCGAGTCTGTGCCTGGCCTTCCACTGCTCTCTGAGAAATGGGCCCTACTGTCCTTTCTTTGAACCTCAGTTTCTTCATCCTTTTTTTTAAGATTTTATTTATTTACTTTTAGGGAATGGGGAAAGGAGGTAGAGAAACATCAATGTGTGGGAGGGAGACACATCTATCAGTTACCTCTCGTGTGCCCCCAACTGGCGGCCTGGCTGCTGCAACCCAGGTGTGTGCCCTGACTGGGAATTGAACAGGCGACCTTTCATTGCACAGACCAGCACTCAATCCACTGAGCTGCACCAGCGAGGGCTCTTCATCTTTGAAATGGTGATTCTTGGGAGAGATTAAGTGAACCTGAGTTACTGTGGGTCCCCTTCGAGTTCAGGTCTCAAGTCCAACATTTACTGAAGTACTCAATCTCTGAGACCTGCGCACCTTATTCCACATTAAGACATAGTAAAAGAAGGGACAAAAGCTAAATACTATAATAATCTTGGCCAGACTCCCTACCAGAGCTGTCTTCCGCTTGGGGGAACCTGGAAAGAACTAGACGCAGAATCATGCCGTGGGCAGCTTAAGGGCTGTATGTGATGTGTCTCTTTGAATTGGTGAGCCAAGAGCTAAAGGGTCATGGTACCACTTTGCGACGTTTGAGTGAAGTGAGCACTGGGTTTTCCCAAAGTTAAAAAGGCTGCTGTGACTGGTCCCCTTGATCTTCTGAGCCTTGCTGTGGCTCAGAGTCTGATGCAGGGTGGGCATCTGGAGTGGCAGGAGCAAAGCATGGTCATCTACCACAGAAGGAGCCCCCCTTGGCTTCATTAGGGATCCTGGTGGTCCTCGGTGTGAGTGAAGACCGGAGTGCCAGGCACATAGTAGGTACTCAGCTAGCAGTTACCAGTCCACTCCTCAAATGAATTAAAGATCAAATCCGTCTGGGTTCAGAAGGGAGAAGCAGAGCTGAGAGCTGCTTTTCTTTATTTGTGAGTCTCCTAACTGTATCTACCCCACGCACCCCCAACCTTTAGAACAGTTGTGTACATTCAATGGCAACTTTGCATATGTGACAAAGCTTGCCCCCAGCCCCCCCCCTTTTCGGAATGACGCCTATCAGTGTCACCGGGGCTGCCACACGCATTAGGGTGGTTCTAGGCACCTCCCCCACCTGCTCTGTTGACTTAGGTGAACTGTCAACACCCACAGGTCATGTCCTCTCATTTGAAGTCAACTAAAATAACACTCAAGAAATCATGATACCGTGACACCGACGACATTAGGAATACGTTGGTAATCCACTCTATGAGTTCCGTTAAGTCTGATTAGTTTAGAGTGAGTGATTAGACCCTTCTCGTAGATTTAACACCATTTCCCCTGTCAACTGTTCGTATGCGACTGACGACAAGCCAGTGTGTGCGCCTGTCCTAGAGGAGCATGTGTTATGTCTTCACGGTGCCTCCCAGGGGTAGGAGCCGAATTCTCAAACATGGAAGCATACAGGGCAAGATGCACCCCTCCCTCTCTCCCCCAAAAAGTACTCCTTATCCTTTCTTGTGTCAGAAGTTTCAAGTCAACAATATCGCTTCGGTAAATGAGCCACTAGAGATTTCCCCTGTCGTATTAATTGTATGAGGGTTTAACTTATTTTGAAGGAAAATAAGTGATTTCTTCAGGAATAATGATGTTTTATGGCTGAAAAAAAAGGGAAGTTTCATAGGTCACCATGGAATGGAGTTATTACTGTCAGGACAATTCAGACAATTTTAAATTTGTATCGCATTTCCTCAGACTTGGTAGGTGACACTTGCGAAGATGTGTGCCTTGCCTCAGCAGCTGGAAGGCAGCTTCTAAAAATGTGTCTCCGGATCGGCAGCTCTCCTCATCTGACCTCTCAGACACATTTTATGTACGTACACACTCAGGCGCAATCACGTGTTCTTGGCCTTGGGCCAACTTTTTGTGCAGGTTGGTTTACGTCATAGTTCCAACTTAGTATTTGACACATTTTAACACTTGGCATTGTCTGTCTCAGAAGGAAAAATTCGCTGTAACGGAGTGTTCCATCTGAATATTCATTCTGTGAGCAGCTCCTCAGGTGGGCGGCTGCTCCCCTCTTGATCTTTTATTCTTTGGCTCATGGGGCACTTCAGGGCAAGAATATTGTCTTTTTGTTGTCGTTGATAGATCTTAATTTATTTATTTTTAGAGAGAGGACGGGAGGGAGAAGGAGATGGAGAGAAACATCAATGTGTGGTTGCCTTGCACATGCCCCCTACTGGGGACCCCGTGGCCCACAACCCAGGCATGTGTCCTGACTGGGAATCGAACCAGTGACCCGTTGGTTCGCAGGCTGGTGCCCAGTCCACTGAGCCACACCAGCCAGGGCAAGAATATTGTCTGTTTGTCGGTTTGTTCAGAGTATGGAGGGAAAGTAGGAAGGCCCACTTAGCTTCCTTGAAATAGAGTTGTTGGAGCCCAGTTTCAAGGAGTTTATACTATGGCCAGCTCACTCAGAGGGGTGGTTTTAGCTTAAAATGTTTGCATGGCTAACACATTCTGATGGAGATGTCTTATTTCAGCAGTTATAAAGACGTAAGGTCCCCCAGATTGATCTGGTGGCAGGATTCATCTCCTCTTCCTCACTGTTTGACCAAACTGCCAGAGCCATCTCAGTTGCTCCGCCCATCAGGAGGGGCCTGGTCCCCAGGGCTGCTGTGGTTCCCCTTGTTCCGGGAACATTTTCTGAGAGTGGGAGAGTCTCAAAGGGGAGAAATGGCTTCCCATGTTCTTAGATTATCTTGCTTTCTGAATGAAAATTGGACACTGGCTCTCACAGAGAAATCCCCCCTTCTTCTTACATGCATTTCTGTAAACATAGCACGATTCAAAAATCAGACCAAAAAATACAGACATCAGATTTCTTCTAAAAATTTACCATTAATGCATGCACAATCCAGCCATCTGTGTGTCAGGTGAGATATTGTGTTGTCACCTTCAACATGTCGACATTTCAAGTTTTCCTTTCATTTCGAGACTGCGAAGAAGGGCCTTCGGTTTGAATCCTGGCTTCGTCCCTTCCTGGCGGCTTGGTTTGGCTCCTAGCAAACTAGTTAACCTCTCTGAACTCCCAGGTTCCTCCGTCTGTACGACCTGCACGTTAACACCCACCCACTGAGCTGGTCCTCAGACTGTGGAAGTCGAGCGCTCAGCACAGCCCTCACCCGTAGGAAGCTGTCGCAGTTGGCCCGGTGTCTGGCTTGTGCTGGTTGGATGCGCTCTGCTGCTAAATGTTAACTAGTCTGATAACATATGGCAATGCCAGGGACTTTCTTAGGGTGCTGGGACTGGGGTGGGGGTACTGGGGAGGAAATACCGGGAACGGCTGGCCAGCGGAGTCTCCATTCAGGTGGTCCACTGGCCTGGAGCCAAAAGCAGCAGCTCTCCTCCTTGGGTCCCCCCAGAAAAATGATGGGTGTCTGGGGTCGGTTTTCAGTGTTTTTCAAAACCTAATAGGAATGAAATAATAAACCTATACAGGTAAAACTTTTTTTTTTTAAAAAAAGAGCCTTTTCTAGCTTCAAAGGCCTTAGGTACTTTAGTACTCTTTTACTATGACATTAGACAAATATTTGAAAAGATACATGGAGGAAAACAGAATTTTCTCCATAGCAGAGGTACCAAGGCTCCTCTCTGCTGTCCCCTCTGAGACTTCAGAGTGCCCAGCGCTGTTACACGTGTAGATTTCACACGCAGGGAACATCGTTTCTGTTACAGCGTATAGGGGGGCTCAGTGGCCAAGCCGCCCATTTGGAAACGAGTTGAGATGAAAGGGACAGAGCAACAGCGGGGTATCTTGAAGTGAATTTCAAACCCTGGTGAGTTAAAACCACCATCTAACACCTTTCCCTCCCCAAAGCAATTGCACAGAATCCTCACAATCAAAAAAAATCTGAGGATCCATATACAGTGACATTCCTTTAAATCACATTGCTCTTTGCAGCTCGTAAAGTATTTCCAGACCCATTCTTATTTCAATTCTCTCAAGGATAGCTGGGAGAGAGGGGGCCTC